TGAAATTCTAGTGTGGTGTGTTTGTGAATAAACTGCTGTGGATTATTTGGATCAGGCTTTACGGAAATAGGAAAAGCGCAAGGTCCTAGGGGCTCTCCAGGTATGACAGCAGTGTAAAATTCTTTGTATTGGGGTTTCTATTTCTGCTACCGAAGGAGGCGGTACGGATGTTTCTGCAATTGGGGGAGGCAGTATAGGCCAATTTGTATCCTCCCTCTCCTGTTTTTTATTTTCAACTGGAGCTGTTGGTGGGACAACAGATTCTTTTAGATTTTTAGATTCAGCCTGCTGTCCCACAGAATAATAAGGAGATAATGGTAGAAGTACAGTACGAACTAAACTCTAAGTGGAGAAAACAGAAGAATCAGCTAAGACCTTTTTGATGAGCCTGTTTTAATCCTTCTCCTGCTTTATGCCAATTTTCCACATCAAGAGTGTCTGCCTGTGGAAACCATGGGTTATGCGTAATAACCTTTTGTGGCTCCTGCAGGAGGTTAGTTCGTGTCTGCGAATTAACCTGAGCTCCAGACTGTCTCAACAGAACTTTAAGCAACTGCACATAACGTTTTTCTTCAATAGACAAATTCTTCCCCTTATTACTCTGATTCAGAAAACTTCCTATTTCCAGTATTTCTTTAAAGCACTGCTCCCAGTACCTCTTTATGGCACTGATCAGTACCTCTTTAGGGCACTGACCTTCTATCTGCTGCCGCAGACTCGTTTCGGGGTCCCCATTCGTCTTGTCAATTTCAGTTCCTCTGCTCCAGCAGACCTTCTTCATTCATGTCCTCGAAGTCCTGTGTTTTCAGATGCCACTATGCAGAGTACCTGATCCTGTTGCTGTTTGGGGCGCCACTTGTAATCTGCATAGACCTTGGGGGACTGAACAAAGGGGGGCGAATGCGGGCATAAAAGACAAGAGACAAAAGAGTGTATTTGGAAGAAGGGGTCAGGGGCATCTTGCCTCTAGTGGACAAGGGCCCTGAGCTTTACACAGCCCTCTGTATTTATTAGGCGAAAGAGATAAAGGGGGAGGATGGTTGTCGGGTAATTGTCGGGTAATTGTCGGTCAGTCGTTTGGTTCACAGCAGGCTTGTGGGACTGCATCCTTTGAATAACAGGCACTAGATTTCTCAATAGATAACTTCCAGGAGCCTGGCGCCAGGGAGTGATGTCCCTCAGCAAACCTTTTGGTGGCAAAGCAGTGTGAGTTTGCCCACATCCTGCATTCATGATAAACAGTTTGCTGTTTGATCGTATAGCCTCCAGCGGAATGCTGAGTTGGTCACATCCCACGGGCCTTTGGCGCCCTGCAGGGTAACTCTGTCTTAGGGTAACTCTTAGGCTCCACCTTTGGGTAACTCTGTCTTTGGCTCGTAGGGTAACTCTGTCTTAAGTTAACTCTTAGGCTCTGTCTTAGGGTAACTGCCCTGTCTTAGGGTAACTCAATTCTTCATCACAGCTGCAGGTCATCTACTTGCAGAGGAGGAGTCTGCCTCAGTCATCTGCCACGTGGACAAGCTCCGGCGCATCCTAAGGATGTCGGTTCAGAGGGAGAGGGTGGCTGGGTGTCATGTGCTTAGTCCCTCTTCCAGCTTCACCAGACAGGCACTGTGTCACTGCTGCCACAGGGAGAGGGGCTGAGGGGCAAAGGGCACCGCTGTGTTGACTCTTGCCTGGAGACACAAGGCCCTCCTGGAGGATCCCAACACTTAGGATCATTAGTACAGTGGGATTAAGGGCTTTTTTTTTTTTTTTCTTCAAATTGGACAGAGGGACAGATTGCTGAGGAATACATTTGGATTAGTTCCTTCTGTGACACTCTGAGAGAACTGTGACTGGGGCATGGGGTGCCACTTTCAGAGGCAGGAGTGCTTAGGAAATGCCACAGTGGCACATGGCCTGTGTGGGCTCCAGCAGCAGCAGCAACCCCCAGGGTAGAGAGGGCAGCTGAGAACACAAGAGTAGAAGGGCAGTGGCTCCATCATCTCAGAGGGTTCTGTTCAAACAACATTTTCTAGCATACGGTGAAAAGAGACCTGGTGCCAGGCATGGTGGCTCATGCCTGTAATCCCAGCACTTTGGGAGG